GTGCACGTGTGTATACACAACGCCCCTCCACCGCGTCATCAGTACTTTATAGGTGTGTATACACAACGCTCCTGCATCACATCATCAATATTTCAGGAGTGTGTATACACAACGCCCCTCCATCGCGTCATCAGTACTTTATAGGTGTGTATACACAACGCTCCTGCATCACATCATCAATATTTCAGGAGTGTGTATACACAACGCCCCTCCATCGCGTCATCAGTACTTTATAGGTGTGTATACACAACGCTCCTGCATCACATCATCAATATTTCAGGAGTGTGTATACACAACGCCTCTCCACCGCGTCATCAGTACTTTATAGGTGTGTATACACAACGCTCCTCTATCACATCAATACTAAACGGGTGTGTATTACGTTCCTATATTACAATTATGAATACTTTACGGGCTTGTATACACAACGCTGCTTGATCGCATCATCAATACTTTTTAGGGTTGTATACAAAATCGGCCCTTAATTACATCAATACGTTAAGGGTGTGTATACACACCGCTCCTGCATCAATTCATCAATTCTTTAAGGTTGTTTATACCCAACGCTGCTCAATCACATCAGCAATGCTTTACGGTCTTGTATACACTACGCACCTATCACATCGTAAATACAGCACAGGTTTGTATACATTACATGTGTATGTTCCTCCATCACCTATCAATGTATACGGCCATACGGAGTGAATGAGTTAGTGAGTTTGACTTAACGCTGCTTTGAACAGTATTTCATTTAACTTGAAAATCATGTACAGACTTTAACTTTCCTTCATACCCTTTCCTGGTGTTTGGAGTGGAGTAGTTGTTGTCTCTGTTCACAAATAGGCGAACGTAGTAATCCAGATAACTCCCGTGGTATCTCGCTTCTCAGCGTCTTAGGTAAAGTGAGTGAGTGAGTGAGTGAGGGAATATAGCAATTTTCCAACAATATCACGGCGGGGGACACCAGAAATGAGCTACACACATTGTACCCATGTCGGGAATCGAAGCCGGGTCTTCGGCGTGACGAGCGAACGCTTTAACCACTTGGCTACCCGACCGTCCCGTTCGTAGGTTAAGTCTCCACCACTACACTAAGTAAAAGAATAACGTTCTGGTCACACATAATGAATACCAGAAACTCAAGCCGGCTTTAGACGGGGATATACGTACATGGTATCCTATGGTACAAAAATGTTTAAACAACATGAAATGCAAACTTTATGTGTTTTAGTCGATTTGAAAAAAACGTTTCATATATTTAGCGACGTTGTTTCAGTATCAGACAGCGCCAAACGGTAAAAGACGTGATTAAATATTCTTGATACTCATTTCGATTAGTGGAACTAAAAGGTAAATTTGGATAAAACCAAAACATGTTGTAGTCGGACGGGGAGGAGCTTTTTCGAGAGAGAATATTTGCATTATAAAGAGGAATTAATTGAAGTTGTACCCAGCTACAGAGATCGGTAACGTTGTTTAATCTTTAGCTCATAAAGCCATAAAGAGAAAACCATCACTCCTTGAATGAATAATATCTTTATGTAATGTGGACATTGTTTTAACTACGGCATTTTCAAAGATATTCGATACGCAAATGCAACAAATTCTATTATATGGTTCTGAGATATCACGTCGATATCCATCTACAGGCGTGTAAATAGTTTCTGAATGTCGGATTACAAATCCCAACTGCAATAGTATATGGAGAAACAGGTTGCTTTCCGATATATAATGTATAAGACATAATATTTAAAAAGGACATTAAACATTATAGTATATTTAGATAACTATGATCGCCACACATTACTGTTTATGTAAAGAATCTAAAAGTTATCTTATCTGACAGAATTTTTTGAAAACATTTTTAGGATCTACATTTGTTTTAAGGATTGACTGTGTAATTTTTTCGGTTCATTGAGGTATGAATCGAAAAACCGATGTGCAAACTGTATACCGAGACAAATACACAGTCAATGCTTATAATTAAATTCGACAACGAAAACATGTTTAATCCACAATAGTATAACCAAAACCAGTTGTATATATCAAAGCAGACAAAAATGACGAGATGTGAAAACTATGATGTGAAAACTTATGTTAAGCAGTAACATACATTTCTTATGATTATGGAAAGGGCTGTGTCGTTTGTATTTGCAGATAAACATCTGTCTGGACATGATGCAATGCTCACAGTCAACGGGCGGTGCATATCTGTCCATTAGGCTGCAGATGTTAACGAACACCATGTGGCGTTATATATCTGTTAATAATCTGTATACTTTAAAGTACATGCAGTTCAATACAGTATTAAATATATTTTTAAGTTTTAACTCGAACTAATATTCCCCAAATCTGAAAACTAAACAATATAGCTAAATGTCAACATGGAACAAAAATGGGCCATTTGCGTGACACGAACATGAAACATTTCTTCTTCGTGTTATCAAGTCTTCGGTTGAGTATAAGAAAAATAAAGACAAATCTTCAGGAGTTTTGCAAATTCTTGTAGATTTACATGGCCTAGAGAGGCTTTGAAAGAGCCGAAATTACTTGGCTAACAGTAAATGAAATACATGTCTACATTTGCTACACAATAATTCAAATATTCATCGAATGAATTTAAATAACAAATTTTACATGAATGTTTACAATATTCATTTTTGAAAACATTCTGTGAAGATTTAGAGTAGGTATTTCAAGATCGAAAAACAATTCCTATTTATTTGTTCTTATTATATCTGCGGATATATTTCTGAAAATATCCCAGCTTAATACCTGTAAGTCATTTTTGTGTATTACCAATGAACGTTTATTAAAATATTTATCATATTACTTATTATATGTCCATGAAAAAATATAACTGGCTGTAATGTAACAATATTGCAGTTATATCACGCCGTCTCAGCTTGATTATGGAGGAAAGCACGAAGTGGTGCAGGTCTTGGACGTGTACCACTTTGGTGAAACCTACGAACACGGGTATGGTGCTGACAAATCTATAATGATTAACATACGTGTATCTTCCCATGTGAATTGTCAAATTACATTACCACAATATATTAATGGCAATCTTTCGATCGAAGTTAAAATCTATCTGGTGTTTGAACAATGATAATCTATGAAGGTGTAGCACTTAATATTTCAAAATAAATGTGCTTTCTTTATTCGTGTATTTATTGCGATAGCATTTATATTGTAAAAGGGGTACAGCTCATGATTTCCCTACTTTCGATGTTTACACATATCACTACAATGTACGACCTGACAAATAACGTGTTCTCAATGGCTGGGGAGGATAAAAAACCGCGATATCTACCTCAAACAGCCGATTCCATGTTGATAGGTACTTTACATGCTGCAGCGAGAACGTCGGGGTCTTGGGTATATTGCGTCATCTGTTACCTAGTGTCATGTAACTCCTCCTCGCCTCATTACCGCTCGGGACTTTCCTCAAATGTGTGGCCCCGTCAGTTTTGCGTTTTTCAGGCAAACGCTATGACACTTTTAATTATATGCTTATGTTTATCTGTTAACAATTGTACACAAATGTAGTTTGACAGTTTTCAAACCATTTCATATGTCAAACTGTTCAAAATATAGACATTGAATGGGATATATTATAGACATTGTACGCTAAGTGTCGCATTGGTAGTATACAATAATAGTAGCTAGCAATCTTTCTGTAGAGAAATTCACTATATGCGAATAGTCAAGTGCGTTAACCATTTCTGTGGGTGATGAAGCCTTTATATACTCATTCTATTTTCAATACACACAAATCATACGGATACGAGGCTAAATACTGTATCATTACTATCTATAATATCGTATATATCAAATACATTTGTGGCGATACACCATAAAATGTAAAACAAAATGTTTAGATCCTAATCACAAACACTAGGCACGATCCTTGTCCCATAACTGTAACGCTTTTTGAGGCATAAACATGTTTAGCATTGTGTTTAGGATCTAAACTTGTTTGGGCCTTGAAACGCGTTAAAAGTACGTAAACACATTTCTAAAATGTACATGCATGCAAATAATCTTTGATATTTATACACATTTATTATGTAAACTATTCATTACACTATGATGTGAAAACTTATGTTGAGCAGTAAATATTTTTCTTATGATTATGGAAAGGGTTTTTGTCGCTTTCATTTGCATATAAACATCTGTCTGGACAGGATACAGTGCTCACAATCAACAGGCAGTGCACACCTGTCCATTAGGCTGCAGTACTATGTGGCGTTATATATCTGTTAATAATCTGCATACTCTGAAGTACTTGCAGTTCAATACAGTATAAAAATAGCTTCTTTAATTTCATCTTGAAGTGAGATTCCCCCAAAACTGATAACTAAAAAATATAGCTAAATGTCAACATCGAACAAAAATGGGCCACTGACGAGACACGAACATGAAAAATCGTATTTGTAATTTAATTACACTTATGAAATAATATTCTTTATATACAAGTCTTCATGAGTTTTGCAGATTCTTGTAAATTTACATGGCCTGAAGAGGCTTTGAAAGAGCCGAAATTACTTGGCGAACAGTAAATGAAATACATGTGTACATTTGCTACACAATAATTCAAATATTGATCGAATGAAATTAAATAATAAATTTACATGAATGTTTAAAATATTCGCAGAAAAGCACAGGATAATGTGCTATAATTATCAATATATACGCTTTTCAATTTGTAGACATATTTGAAGCAGGAAATGCATAACATTATACTTCCAGTGACAATAAATAGAAACTAGTTGTTACAAGGTTATCAATGCCATTACGAAGTCACTCAGACAGATACACGTGCCCTGCTGCTTCCATCACTGCTGGTCACTGCGTGATACCATATACCGTAAGACGTTCTGCCGTCTCACATTGGAATTGGACCAATCGGATGCTAGCTGACATAACAGATCCAACAAACGCTGGGTATATGAAGGGGTAGAATCTATGAGAGGACAGTTGATCAACATATACCGTAGCAGAACAGGAGACACACCAGCTCTCGTCATAAACATTGGGTTTGTATATTCACTGTTTAAGACGCTGACTTAAATATCGTTTTTGAACAAATTACAACTATGCATATTTTCTCGCAAAAATATGTATTAACGTTCAATGAGTAAGTGAGTTGGTATTCGAGCACTATTTTACTATAAGAGTTATATTGCGGCGTGCCAGGTTGTTGACGTAGGTCTTAGAAGTGTACCACTTTCGTAAAACCCATTAGCTTGTCTATCATGTGAACAACGTTCGATTATGGTTAAGTAAAACGTACAAATATTGTAAATAGATGATGCGTACTTCCTATATGTACTTACTACGCGTGACGATCGATTCAGAAATAGATGAATTATTATGATTATTTCTGATTTTTGGTGAATGTGTGTGTGTGTGTGTGTGTGTGTGTGTGTGTGTGTGTGTGTGTGTGTGTGTGTGTGTGTGTGTGTGAGAGAGAGAGAGAGAAAGATTATACACACTCCAAAACAATCAACTATTTTTGCTTCATGTCATATTATATACAATAGTTATTGGCATGGCTTTGTTTTTAGTACATGGGAGGAAATATAGAGTGTATACAATTGTTGTTGCATGGATTAACCTATTGGCACATCCAGTCATTTTTATTGGAATTGATCAATTGAGATACCTTCAACCGTGGGAGGAACGAGTGGCCCAGTTGTCTAAGGCGCCGCAATTCGCTGTTAAGAATTGCGTCCCTTCGTCACACCAGAAAGTTATGATCGTGGTTCGAATGACGGTTCGACCAGATTATGTTTATAAGTTGGTGTAAGCACCATATCCGTGATCGTGGGTTTCACCGAAGTGGTAAAAGTCCTGCATCACTTCGGGCTTTCCTCCCAAATTAAGCTGACACGCCGTGATATAACTGAAATACTGTCAAAGCGGCGTTAAATCCAATTCACCCACTCACGTTCAACCGTATATACTGCAAAAATATACAGTCAAGTCTCGTTAATCCGACACTCGTTAATCCGACAATCGGCTTCATCCGACACAAATGATGGGAACCGATTAAATCAGTGTTATTTAGACCCGTTAATCCGACAGTCTCGCACTCAAACTGAATTTGCAACAAATTACCAAAATCACTCAGTGATCAGCGTACTCCGTGGTCATCTGCCCGCGAGTACACAGCCCGTGTTTTGATGCAAGACAAGTTGGCTCGTAGTTGCAAATAACAAAGGCTGTATAGAAAAACTTTCTGAAAAATAAACAATTAATGCTGTAAATAAACAAAACAGGATTAATCACATGCTCAGATTAAATCAATCTCATTAAGTTTTGTAATTGTAATACTTCTTCCTTCAGAGCTGTCCGACTGCAGTCTTTCTTGATTTCGACGTATTTCGACTCACGTCAACATGGCTTCATACGATCCTGCCGATCCTGAGATGCAGTATCTTGCTGTAGACCGCAAGAAGCTGATGAAGGAGCAGAACCAGTCATTTGATGCCAAGAAGTCTTGCTGGGCGCCCGATGCAGAGCAGGGATTTGTTGCTGCTGAAATACAGAGCACAACAGGAGACGACACCACAGTCCTCCTTGTTGACTCCAAACAGGTGCGTTCATGCAATTCTTGTAAATTCATAAATACACAATTACCTTGAAAGACCTTTTTGATATATGTATCATTACAGATCGTGCTTACCTTACTATCATCTATCGTGCATTTTTGAAAAGATGTCATAAATATATCGTTAATTCATTCATTTTCAGACGAAGACGTTTAAGAAGGACGACATCCAGTCGATGAACCCTCCCAAGTATGAAAAGATCGAGGACATCGCCAACATGACCTTCCTCAATGAGTCCTGCGTTCTGTACAACTTGAGAGCCCGATACACTTCTGGGTTGATCTATGTGAGTAACCCTATTTAAGACTGATAGGCTCTTACTCTCATCATATATAACGCTATCTTTGATAATGATTAATGAAGGGATTTTGTCACCCTCATATGTCAACCTACAGTTCATTCAGTTTTCAGATGATTTGTATTCTGTTTTGTACAAATGTCTAATGAGATATTGAAAGTGGCACCAATGAAAAAACTCACTGATTTTGAAAATTTCAGACCTACTCTGGTCTGTTCTGTATCGCCATCAACCCCTACCGCCGCCTCCCAATCTACACCCCGTCCATCGTGGCCAAGTACAGAGGCAAGAGGAAGACCGAGATGCCCCCTCACTTGTTCTCCATCTCTGACAACGCCTACCAGTTTATGGTGCAAGGTAATCACTGTTCAAATCAAGTGATATATAATCCAAATAATATACCCTTAATAAATTGATCAACAGACTACAACATAAACGACAGCCTTATCGGGACGACGACACACACTTGAGTTTGCCTTGATGAGTAGCGTCCGCTAGTTGTACCAGGATCTGCTGGTTGTTGGGTCGAATTCCAAAAACGTCTACGTTTTGACCGTTTTAGCACAAAGTCCGCGTAAAATTGCAAAAATGACCAACGTCACATTCTTTGGGCTTCCCCTCACAATAACAACAATAGCAACATCATTAGCAACAACAATAATAATAACAAAATAATGCCAAATCAAATCAAGGAAAGGCTTTCTGAAAGACCCTTGGATGAAGTCGGCTCGCCTGAAAAGTGAAACGGAAGGCTTTCTGTTTGCTGCTCAGGATCAGTCACTTCCCACTCGAAATCGCCAATGTGTTATTTTGCATCAAAATGTAAATATGAAATGTAGATTATGCAATGAATTTAATGAGACCCTCCAAAACATTGTTAGTGGAAGCCCGGCTTTGGCACAAACAGAGTATCTCAAGCGACATGATGGCATGACTTGATCCTTTTATTACCGTCTTCGCCATGCTTGTGGTTTTGTGCCTTAGGTTTGGTACCTCCCAATCTATTGAATGACTTTGGAAGAGTACTCGGGTTTGCTGCCAGGAATACAGTTCTTCTGACAATCTGGAAAATGCAGAAGGCTGCAGTCTTGGGGAGCCTTCTACGAAACGTTCTTCGAAAAGTTCTTCGAAAAGTTCCTCGAAAAGTTCTTCGAAAAGTTCTTCGAAAAGTTCTTCGAAAAGTTCTTCGAAAAGTTCTTCGAGGCAGCGCATCCCCATTCGCTGTCTGGGCTGTAGGGGGTAAAGGGCCCTGAGCTGCTGATGAGCCTAACCAGCCTGACCATTCCAGAACCATCCAAACCCTCTTTGCTGTAGTTTTGATATTTTAATCTGTATATTATAATTATAATGCAACCGTTTTCTATTACAGATCGGGAGAATCAGTCGATGCTGATTACGTAAGTATATGAATAACGAATGTGCAACAGTCTCTCACTCCTGTGAATATGTCACGTTAATAGTGTTTATCTTGTAGAATTTTCATTTCATAGATCAATTTGACGCCCAGATGAAATAATACAAAATCTAAGAGATACACTTACCATGTATTTTGCTCTATAAAGTGGCGAATCTGGCGCCGGAAAGACTGAGAACACCAAGAAGGTCATCGCCTACTTCGCCTTTGTCGCCGCCGCCTCCAAAGGAGAAGGGGAACAAGAGGAAACGAAGGTATATACATGTGGCCACAATGTAATATTTTGACACAAAAAATATATAAATCACTTTAATGTTGTTCACGTCAATTACATTCAGATCAATCTATTTGTTGTTTCTTGCAGGGTTCTCTCGAGGATCAGATCGTGCAGGCTAACCCTGTCCTTGAGGCCTACGGTAACGCCAAGACATCCCGTAACAACAACTCCTCCAGATTCGTAAGTTAACATACTTCGATAATTGTCATAATAACTCGCAATGTACAAAGTATTTTAAGAGTAATTTAATTTCTTATACCTTACCACTAATCCTCTTGCGCCCATTAATGTATATTTCTAAGCACAGTGAGACTGTTGATGACAATCCACATTCATCCTGAACTTGCCGCTTAAAAACGTTCTATTTTATCTATTTTAAATAACGTTCTATTTTATACAGGGTAAATTTGTTCGGATTCACTTCGCGTCTTCTGGAAAAATTGCTGGTGCCGACATTGAAACATGTGAGTAAAATGTCTTCTGCCTTTCTCTATTACAGAACTACTTGCCCCTAATGGCATACTCAAACTGGAATTTTCGTTTAGCATATAATAAATGCCTCAAAATCGTTTGGCTCTCTATTCACTTACTATATCTCATTACAGATTTATTGGAGAAATCCCGTGTCACCTACCAACAATCTGTTGAGAGGAACTACCACATTTTCTACCAGATGTTGTCTGGAGCGATACCATCAGTTGCAGGTACGCACAGTCACACAGTAACAAAGCAACATAGTCTTATAGTAATGATAATTATTAACATGAGGTATAAAATATTATTAGAGTTAATGAATAGCTCCAGCACCTAAATATTGTCTTGGGAAAACTATTTATGGCCCATGCCATAAAACAAATAGTTATCAGTGATAAATGTAACGCAATAATTCTGGCAATCAAATTAAGAAATGATTAGTATGTGTGTATTTTAGGAGTACCTTGCTATTTCAGAGAGGATATTGGCCAATCCCGATGCTGGTTTGTTTACCTTCATCAATCAAGGAGTTCTCACAGTCAACGGCATCGACGATGTTGAGGAGATGAAGATGACAGACGTAATAATCCCTGTTTATTTCCAATTCTGACATTGGTCAATCAGGTTTCAAATCACAATAACCATGTCCGATCGAAACAGCTGATTTGACGACCGAATCTATTTATAGAATAATATCTTTCTGAATCTTTGTCTCATTGCCGATACCTATAACTATAAGTTACAAAAGACAGAGTTTCGATTAACATAATGATCAAGGTATGTAAAACAACAGATGTTGGAGAGCATATATATATTTTTTTCGGAAACAGTAAGCTTGACATTGGAGCGGCGTGACGTTATACTTGAGCACATTCAGCGCCATACTTTGTTAATAGCCTTGTATCGGCGTTTCCTTTTTTCGGAATAAACTCAACAAATTCCGCTTCACTCAACATCTTCGCTAACAACAAAGAGTTCGCGGTTACATTTGTCATTGGAAAAAAGAGATAAATATACCATGTTTTCAATGTAGAGCAAGGTCACCTACAGATTAAACGCGCTACGCGCCTTTGAACCGTCAGATACACATATTGAAAAATTGAGTTCGTTGACAAACAAAGTGGGGGTTTAATTTACTTAAATCACATCTGCTGGTACTGTCATGTGTCCTGCACCTAGATGCCAATCAACAACGTCATTTTCCTGATTACAGGCTGCCTTTGATGTTTTGGGCTTCACTGAAGATGAGAAAAACAGCGCCTACAAATGCACTGGTTCCATCCTACATATGGGTGAGATGCAGTTCAAACAGAAGGGTGAACAGGCTGAGCCTGATGGAACTGCTGAGGCTGAGAAGGTTTCCTTCCTGTTGGGTGTCAACTGTGGTGACTTCCTGAAGGCTTTGTGTAAGCCCAAGATCAAGGTGGCCATGGATTACGTCATCCAAGGAAGAACCAAGAATCAGGTTCTCTATTCTGTCGGTGCCCTGTCCAAGTCACTGTATGATCGTGTGTTCAACTGGTTGGTCAAGAGAGTCAACCACTCCCTGGACACCAAGAAACCCAGGCAGTTCTTCATTGGTGTGCTGGATATTGCTGGCTTCGAAATATTCGATGTAAGGAAACAATTGAACAGTTGCAACAGCTCTAATCATATATGTTCCATTCTGTCTTTAATCGGTACATGACGTCCATCGAAACCAATACCACAATTTTGCTTTCAGTTCAACAGCTTCGAGCAGTTGTGTATCAACTACACCAACGAGCGCCTACAGCAGTTCTTCAACCACCACATGTTTGTGCTGGAGCAGGAAGAATATAAGAAAGAAGGCATTGAGTGGGAGTTCATTGACTTTGGGATGGATTTGCAAGCATGCATTGAACTCATCGAGAAGGTAAGCATTCAATATTTCAATGCACATGGCATTAGCAAATGCACTTTTTCAATAGGATCCTTTTGCCAACTGAATAAACTTATCAGTGACATCCCTTATAATTCCTGTTGAATTAGTTTAAACTATTCAATAATGTTTTGCCTACATTGTAGCCTCTTGGTATCCTGTCAATCTTAGAAGAAGAGTGCATGTTCCCCAAAGCATCTGACAAGACCTTCAAGGACAAACTGACTCAGAACCACATGGGCAAATCTCCCAACTTCCTCAAGCCAAGTAAATCCATGAAGGGTGGCCAACATGGTGACTTCGCCCTGAAACACTACGCCGGAACAGTTCCCTACAACATCGGAGGCTGGCTGGAGAAGAACAAGGACCCTGTCAATGAGACCATTGTGGAACTCCTAAAACAGTCTAAGGAGCCACTTGTCCAGTTGCTCTTCTCTCCACCCGCAGGAGGTTCGTTGCCTGCATATCTTGTATCCCTATCTTTACTTCAAAGGAATACTATTTCCAAATACTCGTCAGGTTGATTGTACAGACTATTGGGTATACATGTATGTACTGTAACATCTAATGAAAATGAATGTTGCAGAAGCTGCTGAGGCCAGCGGTGGTAAGAAGAAGAAGAAGAGCTCTGCCTTCCAGACAATCTCTGCTACCCACAGGGTATGATGTAAACATCAATAGATTGCATGACTTGTGTGTCTGTCCCCTTGCACATAAGCATGTGGCTAAATCGTAGTAATTCTTCTTAAAACAGAAACAATGTACAACGAATGTCTTTGATACTCGTCATTATAGAAAAAAACATAGTTTCAAGGATAGGCATATTTTTATGGATTATATGGATCTAAATTATAAACCAATGTTCATTTCCTTACAGGAATCTCTGAACAAGCTGATGAAAAACCTATACTCCACACATCCCCATTTTGTGCGGTGTATCATTCCAAACGAGACCAAGACACCAGGTATGAAGAATTTGTGGTTGACTTTTGCTATGACATGAAAAATCCCACACTATGTCAACTTCGTCCTTCTGGTTAATGGTGTAATCTTACAGCCTTCCTTTATACGTCGGTTTGAACTTTTACATGTATGTGTCTGGTTTAGGTCTGATTGATGCTGGACTTGTGCTCCATCAGCTGCAGTGTAACGGTGTACTTGAGGGTATTCGTATCTGCAGAAAGGGATTCCCGAGCAGGATCATCTACTCTGAATTCAAACAAAGGTGTGTATAGTAATACTGTATTTGGATTTAGAGTCATCAAAACAGTCCACACTGGTTACTGTAATTGAACCTTACAAAACCTAATTGAAATACAGTGGTGCCATTCTAACAATTTGTTTTCTCATTGTATATTGTTGATTCTGAAATTCATGACGTATCATTTAAGGTATTCCATCCTGGCTCCCAATGCTATCCCTGAAGGCTTTGTTGAGGGCAAGGTCGTATCTGGAAAGATTCTGGAAGCTCTGGAGTTGGGCCAAGATGAATATCGTCTAGGCAACACAAAGGTGTTCTTCAAGGCGGGTGTTCTTGGCTACCTGGAAGAAATCCGCGATGAACGTCTATCGGTTATTGTAGCTTTGTTCCAAGCTCACATTCGTGGTTACCTGATGAGGAAATATCTCAAGAATCTTCATGACAAGAGGTTGGTTCAACGCGTTTATTTAATGTGTATAAATCACATATTAGCATACTGATGTATTTCTTTGCCTTTTACGCCCAGTGGAATCTATTATTATTCTATGTTTCAGAGTTTCGTTGGAACTAATCCAAAAGAACATCCGTAAGTGGCTTGCCATGAGGAACTGGTGCTGGTGGAGATTCTACACCATGGTCAAGCCACTCCTGAGTGTTGCTGCTGCTGAGGACGAGATGAAACAGAAGGAAGAAGCACTTGGTAAAACAAAGGGTGAACTTGAGAAGATCATGCAGAGGTGCAAGGATCTTGAAGAACAGAGCGTTACCTTAACAGAGGCCAAGAACAACTTGTTCCTCCAGGTTCAAACCCAACAGGATACCATCGATGACTGTGAAGAGAGGATTGAGCAGCTCCTGAAGCAAAAAGAAGAGACTGATGTCCAAATGAAGGAACTCAATGATCGTTTAACAGAGGAAGAATCTAACAACGCCATGCTAACTGAAAAGCAAAAACAGATGGATACTGAAATCTGTGGTCTCAAGACAAACGTCGAATCTCTTGAAGGAACTGTATCAAAGGTATTCATATTGCTTTTCTCTTAAATTATACATAAATACCCGATTACGCTGATTTTGTAACACTAAAACATCTGACATATCACTTATTATTCATTAACTATTTTGTTCATCAGTGTCAACATGACATCAAAACGAAGGATGGTCAAATCAGAACTCTCAACGACGAAATGGCCAAATTGGATGAAACGGTTGCCAAATTAACAAAGGGCAAGAAGGATGTTGAGGATCAGCTTGCCAAGACTAAGTCTAGTCTAGAAACTGAGGAGGACAAAAATGCCAATCTCAATAAACTCAGACAAAAGCTTGAAGGTGCCATTGTTGAGGTAGGAATCTTGAAAATGCATATTTAGAGATAATATAATTAAAATGATTGATTCTTAAAATTTATATTTGCTGTGAGTACAACAGCAAATAATTCTACAGAACATATTTTCTACTATTCCGAATTTGATGAAATCAATATATGCTTGCAATTGGCAGCTGGAAGATATGCTTGACCACGAAAAGAAGGTTCATGCTGAAGTTGAGAAGGTCAAGAGGAAGTTGGAACAGGATCTGAAGGCCTCTAGGGACAACTGTGAAGATCTTTGTCACATAAAGACCGATCTTGAAGAGACTCTGAAGAAGTAAGTAAACAAGCAAAGAGACATATATCATCATTTGTGTGAAAAGATGTTCACAAGTAAATAAAACGTTCCCCATTCGTATGAACTATTCATTGTACTCAAGGTACTATCCGTATTGTTAAACTAATTTGATAAAAGCAAATCATTTGCCTTGTTTAGGAAAGAAAAAGACATCGCTGGTCTTACCTCTGAACTTGAGGACTCTGAGGCACATGGTATTCAACAACAGAAGAAGAACAAGGATCTGCAGGTAAATGATGCTCTCATGTTACATCTATATGAGCATACCATATATAAAAAAATAAGAATTTATCATGGAAAGTCGCGATTCATATAACTATCATTGTTTTCAATGTTTCAAGGAATAGTGAATAAAGTAAATGAATAATTCTAAAGATGATCTTTGAATTTTATTGCATTTTTTTCTACCTTGACAGAACAATCTTGACGAATGTGAAGAACGGCTCGAATCAGAGAAACAGACAAGGTCTAAGGTTTGTTGAAAGACATGTGTAAAGCTGATCCCATGAAAGCTAGTGTAAAATGTTCTTCCAACATATGATTATTTTACGTTACAATCACACCACTGTTATTACATAAATATATGATACATTAATAATACCTAATGCTTTTTATTACGTGCATATAATGTATGATCGACATAAAGGCAGACCATGATATGTATAGTTATAGTATGTAAAGCTATTTTAATCACTCAAACAAATACATTTCAGGTGGAGAAACAGAGAACCCAGTTTGCCACTGAAATTGACAGTATGTCTCAGCACATTGAAGAATGTAACGGCACCATTTCGTCACAGGTACAAACTCTTATCTATACACCTACAACTGTCATATTAAAAATTATGACATCATATAATTGTTTAGTATTATATTTATGTTTTCAGAAATCACAGATACGATCTGTGAATCCAATTATTTGCGTCCTCTAAGAATATTGCCTACGGCAGCGTAAACACATACTCATAATAGTTGTTAGTTGATATCACAAATACAAATATATTCATCTTTAGACGGACGTCATCAAAAAGCGGGACACGGAGATTCAAAAGCTGAAGCACGACATGGAGGAAGCATCTTCCCAGCATGAGTCTCAGGTTGCAAACCTCCGCAAGAAGCAGAAGGACGCCATGACTGAGATGAATGACCAGATGGAACAACTTCAGAAGATTAAACAAAGGTAATGTAGCAATTTCAAGTAAAATTCATATTGTTTTTGATGAATTGACGAACTTGTCTCCGCTATGTTGTACAGAAGAGACCAATTTAATTTTACCATCCATGTCACTGGAAGCTCTGGAGTTGGGCCAAGATGAATATCGTCTAGGCAACACAAAGGTGTTCTTCAAGGCGGGTGTTCTTGGTTACCTGGAAGAAATCCGTGATGATCGTCTATCGGTTATTGTGGCTTTGTTCCAAGCTGTTGATGGCGACACGGTTGTTGTTGAAAAAATGTTATATGCTAGTCCTGAATAGCTGATTGTTGCAATAATGTATTATCCCAATTTGAAAAGCGTCCAAATAACACACATAGGGGAAATGAGACACCAACACACTACTATTACATTGCAACTTTCAGTGAAATATTTCAAAAATACTTTCCAGGTTGGAAAAGGAGAAGAACCAACTGACTGCTGATGTTGATGAACTTCAAAATGAAGTCGAACACGCTAAGAAAAACAAGGTAAGTTCCATTGTCCAACATTGTGCAGAGGGATGCGCTTTGACTGATGCGCTTTTTCTAACTCTTTGCTTTTTCCAAGGGCTGTTCTCACAGTTTAAAAAATATATGAAATTAAAAATCGGTATATCGTATACGTTTATTCCCTCAATTAATCTATTTTCCAGGGCTGTTCCGGTGTGATGTCCAAGCAAATGCAAACCCAAATGACAGACCTCAATACCCAGGTTGAGGAAAGTGTCCAGCAGATCAGTGAGATGCAGATAGAGAAGAACAGACTGATGACAGAGTCAGCTGACCTCACCCGTCAGCTGGAAGAAGCTGAACACAGAATTGGGAAACTTAGCAAGGACAAATCATCTCTCAGTGTCCAGATGGAAGATATTAGACGTACCTCTGATGACGAACAGAGAGTAAGTTTTGAAGGCAGTGTATTGATTTTCCCACATGGTTACATTGTGTGAAGCCCATTTCTTGTGACACCTCCGTGATATGGATAGAGTATTGATAAAAGCGGCATAAAATTAAACTCACTCATTCACTGTTGTACACACAATAAACAACAGATGTCAATTCCAGGCCCGACAGCGACTCCAGACAGAGATGAGGAACATGAACACTGATATGGTCAGTCTCAGGGAACAGCTTACGGAGGAGCAGGAGTCCCGGGCAGCACTACAGCGCCAGTTGTCCAAGTCAAACCAGGAGATGCTTATGTGGAGGTCTAAATATGAGACTGAGGGCACTGTCAGGGTCGACGAGCTTGAGGAGTCTAGGTAAAGACACACTTTAAAATAATATATCATAATCTTTAAACATATAATATATACATGTCAAATAAACAAGTTAATTACATGTCATGTGGAAGGTGAGTAAGTCTTATAGAAATGATTGTAAACATGTATTGATTAATCCTTGCAGACGCCGAATCCAAACCAAACTCACTGAAGCCGAGCACAGCCTGTCGACTGCCTATGCTAAAGCCAGTTCTCTTGAGATCAGTAAGGCCAAAATGGTACGTAAAGTAAATGTCTAAACATAGATTTATAGATATTGGACCAATAACGTCTGAGATCTTAAGTGCCACCTGCCAAAAAGTAATCTTATTGCAATATATTCATTAATATATCTGAATATCACATATGAAGTTGTATTGCTATTGCATTAGTATCTTCAACAACATATTTTCGAAGTCAGTAAAATTTTACCAGCATTATTGTTTCTGCTCAGGTAAGAGATCTTGAGGAAGAGCTTGAGAAGGAGCGGATGCGTCATGGCGAGTCTGTCAAGAATTGTCGCCACTACGAGCGTTATACGAAAGACATTGCTTACAAAGTGGATGAAGACAAGAATACCATTAACAAACTGCAGGACATCATTGACAAGCAGAGCGGCCAGATGAAGATGTACAAGTCACAGGTGGCAGATGCGGTAAGTGTGACTACCAGTGAGAGGTATTGTAATACTATAGAACTCATAATTTAAAAGTAAAAGCACTTTACGGATTGACTGATTGACTGCAGCGTTCACAATACAAGCAAAGTTGAATGAGATATGGAATACAGAGAGTGATAATAATACATAAGATTACAAGTATTGTTATAACGTAGCATAGTTTGCAATAATTTATTGTTTTGCAATCCTAACTTATTCGTACGTCTCTATACAGGAGGAGATGGCGACCATGAACATGAACAAATACCGCAAGGTGAAACAGGAATTGGAGGATGCTGAGACCAGAGCCAGCAGGGCGGAAGAAACCATGGCAAGTTACAGTAGGAAGACTCGCTCCTACACCGTCTACTCTGACAACTCGTACTAGGCCATGGTTCCAGCTCAGACGATCAAAGATGATTAGCGATGATCCTTTGAAAATCTCAATGTAATGCCCATCACTTTCTAAGGAAGATGCATGATTCATCTTGTTTTGAATAAGCAATGGTTTTCGTGTATTGAGTCGTTTTCTCTGAAGACAATGATCTTTCCTTATCCAATAACCATAAAATATTCAAAGAAATTTGTGTCTTGAGTCAATCTGCCCTGCAACTGAACGGGCTGTAATATATGAAATAAATATATTTATTGCTTCATTCTTCTTGTGATGTTGTTTGTGAGACAGCCCAGCCTTCGTCAATGATAACATTTTAGTCGTACGATCTATGTTACGGAAACATGGGACACACATGCCTATAACTGCAAATCAGAAACACATACAGAGCATTGTGGTTTAGTATCTGCAAACTGATTATTATCTGAACTGAAACAGTTCAATAGCACCAAGAGTTTTCTTCGAGGCTGCCTTGTTTAACCAGTGACAAACGTTGGTTCAGTGAATCATAACATAAAGCTGATATAGTTAGTGGTACTAATAATATACCACCATACACGTAACGACTACATAATTATACCAACAAAAACGATTACATAGCGATACAATGTGCACATATCCCTGTACACATGCTGGTAGACTTCCACAAACACTAGAATCACTGCAATTATGCACACACCGTTACAAGCTGATATGAGTCTATGGTAAAGTAGTACTACCACCCCGAATAATTGTGAAAGGCCTTTTGATATATAGCTAGCTGCACCTTTGTGCAAAGAATTCACCATAAAGCTTGAGCACCGACACCCTCACACGATACCCGACACTCTGTAATAACCTATATAACATGTTGATATCAGGGACTTTTAGACTATAGCTAGACCTTAAATATCCTTGTGAATTTTTACATTCACATTTTTTGTCGTACTGATTAAACAAATTGCTACCACTGTCTACAAATAAATAAAAACGATAAAACCTTACCGTATTCATAAGAAATCTCTGCCAAAAGCATTGTTGATTGTACTATGTCATGAGCATTCGTTGATGAATCACTATCAAATAGTGATGAAACCAGGTGTTCGCGAAAACGTGAGCGTATCCTTCCCCACCGCTGGCACCCGTCACAAACACATGCAGAAAGAGCATGCCCGATTGTGCCTTAAAATTTGTGAAACACCAAAGGCTTTAACTGCAGAAATAACTGGAATGCTTAACAAAACTAGACATAAACGATCCATGCTTCGTTTTACACTATTGCCCTACTATAACAATGTAGAGTCGTAACCATCGAGTAATACTGGATGTGTTGTGGCTTCATTTTATATTTACATACATCCTACATTACACTGTAAACACGAAAACGTCGTTTTTTTTCCGTATATGGTTAGTGGACGGAAAAACGACGTTATTTGGACGTTTTCAAACCATCGTTTTTCCGTCCAAATAACGTCGTTATTTGACATCGGAATTTACTGGGAGAGAACGATATCATCAAGCTCCTCCCTTTCTTGATTGACATTGTCAATCAAACAACAGCGTCTACCGGTGTTTCTACTTCTCAGATTTCATTGGTCAGTTCTCGCGTGTTAGATTACAGGCCCGCGTTTGACGCTGCACTCGAAGCGCTTAGCAGAAGAATTGAAATCAATCGTTCTGCGCATGCGGATTACTTAATGCCTTGTCCAAACTTTCCGTTATGTGCATGCGCGATTTCGCGTATTGTTTCCGAGATTCCATGTCACCACTATTTGACAATGATTCATAAACAAAGTCTCGTGAAAGTTCGGAATCGTACAATTCCAAACTGGTGATGCCTATTCAGACTAATGCTGAGTCTCTAAAACTGTACAGATTTGAAAGAAACAAATAACTCAATTTAAATTGAAGAGGAGCCCCGGTGATATGGGAGATTCCGAGATATACCTATTCTATGGCTATCAAGGCTGCCACACAAACCAATCCAAACTGTATCGTGATGTCTTCAGAAATACAAATTTCTTTCAATATTTATACTACGAGATAGTAAGGGTAAGGCTTACTCACCGGTGGAACGTAGTCAATATCGCTAATACAGATATAACGTATTTGAATGACTTTTGTTAATACTAAAGACAAACACTCATTGTTTTTTCAGTGACGATATAACACTTATACACGTTTATTGGTAACTTTCGTCATATTTCGTAAATTTGTTTTCACATATACATGTAGCAATACCCGACAAGCCTGTCAAACATAATTATGAGGCAGTTTTCAATCTTGTACTGACTTACTCTGGTGTTCCTGAGCGAAGCTTATTGGCTTGGGTGTTACAGCCGGTTTTTTTTCTGGTAATCCTATTATTACTTTATTTTTTATGTAATGACACCCTGTACACTGGATCACGGCTCCGTGACTATCCATAACAATCAAGATGAACATTCAGTTCAAGTAAATTATGAGTTTGTTTTGACACCACAGTCAGTCAAAAACCAATGCTGTGAGGTTTGATTACACACTTCTACCAGGTCGAACATCGTGGATCCTCATTTTGAGAATCAAAGTTCATATGCTAATCCATCTGCGAATAACGTCCCGCTCAAGATGACCTTACTTGTTGCTAAAACTATCATCTATACCCCACTCTCACCCCCCACAACACACCTACATGTAAATAACCTGGACAGGAAATACTGCTGATAGCCTCTGGTCAACTCCGCGCTACCGCAGAATGTTCGTCCAACTCTGCAGGGGGCATTCAAACACGTTGAAATGTTTTCGCCTTGCATCCAAGATGGTGGACAAGCGAAATCGTATGAAATTTGGCTATTATAGGTCGCTGTCTCTTTTTTGATTACCCAATAAAGTCACTTCAACATTCAATTTCCGATACAAGTAAATGAATAAGTGTGTTTTACGCCAACGTTGTCTTGTTTGATGACACACAATCTACCAGGTAGCACATTGTGAACACCCTATCCCCATTTCAGTCTCCACTGTGCGTATTCCTGGTGACAAAAAGGCACAATGTACCTAGGAATCTCATTAATACATTCATGCGCGGCATTCTCTACCTCCAGTAGATTATATAGTTAACATGTTTATTTAACTCGAACTATCATGCCGCTCAAAAATTCAGCAGGCCCACATTTACACACACACACACACACACACACACACACACACACACACACACACACACACACACACACACACACACACACACACACACACACACACACACACCAAGATGGTGGACAAGTGAAATCGTATGATATTTGGGCTATTTTAGGTCGCGATCTCTTTTTTGATTACCCAATAAAGTCAATTCAAAGTATACGGTTGTGAAGAAGCTTACAACTTTGTAACACTTATTCATCGCCTTCCAATAGAGCTACTCGTGCTCACATTAAGTTGTAGTTATTATGTCACTGTTTTATTTCTTTAAAAATATATTACGTGTTCATGAATAAGAATTAAGATGAACATTCAATTTCCGATACAAATTAATGAATAAGTGTGTTTTACGCCACAATCAGTCAAAGACCAACGTTGTCTGGTTTGACGACATTGTGTACACCCTATCCCCATTTAAGTCTCCACTGTGCGTATTCCTGGTGACGAAAAGGCCCCATGTACCTGGGAATCTCATTAATACATTCATGCGCGACATTGTTTACCTCAAGAAGATCATAGTTAACATGCTTATCCAACTCGAATTACCATCCCGCCGAAGATGAATTTTGATTTACCAATCCCTGAATGGAGAAGACGTGCGTTACGAAGCTCCTCCAAGTCGTCATCAATATCCGTAAATGTCTGTGATAGTATTACCCATCAAAAGCCGAATATATTTATTGTGCTTTCTTGACGACAAATGTCATAATTGGGATAACACTTTCTTAGTAAAGTACAGATTCTCGTACTTTTTTGGGTTGACTCCCGTCCGAGATTTGAGCCCACACTGTGAGTGAGGCACCCAATCGCCAGCACACAAGTCAGCGATCTAATCCATTCTCAGTAAACTACATATTCTCGTAATTTTTAGGGTTGAGATAATAGACGTTGATGGACAAATTAAAGCCAAAACTTAACTTATGAATGATTGGTAATGGGCAATGGACAATGGGCAAACGGGAGGCCGGGGTAATCAGCGCTAATTATCTGTTGGCTTCCCCTGTTACGTTTCCTTCTTTGCTGTCTTTTTACTTTTGTTGTTCTTATATGTTCTCTGCCTTATAGCATTTATTCACCCGATGAAGGAGTGAGTATATACACCGAAACGTTGTGTTCCTCATTATAAAGACGTTGACATTCATATTTTTTCCCTTATGTGTATCACTTCTTAATGCCCTTCAAAGACTCAATGTGTATCACTTCTTAATGCCCTTCAAAGACTCAATCTAGCTTTGTTTTTAAATGTGGAGATATTTGCTTAGAATATAATATGGTCATGCCTATAAACATTTGGGTCTTTGTCTCCTTGAGCATTTAAACATAAATTTTATAGCTGATGACATTGCTAAATCTGCAGGAATGCAGTACACGTCATAGCAAGCTGTGATCTTTATTCACACTTTAGATATTTGAAATGGAGATCTGTAAGTTTATCGTAATCTTCCGCAACTCTCACCTCCTGACCAGTTGAACTTCTTAGTGCATTCTGATGCCATTGGAAAATTCCAGGCTGCCCTTATTTCTATGATGTTTTGACGAATGAAATCTATTGCTTTATGATAATCTCTGCTTGCTGATATTTAATATGTAAATATTGTAAAATATATATTTTAAACGTGTAATTCGATGCATGCAATGCAATGTAAACATAAGTGCGAATGCTCGAAGACGGTTATAGTCATAGTTATATAGTGCGATGGATATAGGGGAATGGTAGGAGGGTGAATGTATGTAAGCACGAATACCGATACATGAGGGCGGATATAGTTATTGTTCGATGGATGTTGGGGAATGGTGGGAGGATGGATTATGTATGTAAGCATGCGCATGGATCCATGATGGCTGACGTAGACATAATGGCGGGGAAAGAAGAATGCGATGTGTGTGTGTGTGTGTGCGTGCGTGCGTGCGTGCGTGCATGCGAACATGTTGTGAGATGATTGTGTGGGTGAGGATGTGGCAGGTATGAGTATTGATACATGCAGACTTGGGGTTGGGGGACATGGTGTGCTTGTTCTGATGTCTATGGTTTCACTCACTTGTAGTGTTTTCTTTTACTCAAACAAATGTGTTACGGATTTTAATGACTGAAAATGTAGTGTCT